ATACGACCTTCTCTCGCTCGGCGTTGATTCCTCAGATGGTCAGAAGACTTGTGGGGAGAGGTGGCCCCACGATATCTCCATGGCTGATCAAAGTTTCCTGTTAGTTATTGGCGTACAGTCTAGGATGCCTATCTTCTCCACCATGCCTCATATATACTCAATTGGGCTTCGTCGGGTAAACGTGGTGACTACTACATTCTTTGGAAGTCTCCAGAATGCTCTTAAAAATCAATTCTAAGCGAACTGGACAACAGATAGTAGAGTGCATTGTCCCGCTGTAATAACCCGTCGTTCTTGTAAATGCATGGAATCCATGAGTTCAAATTCTTTCAAAGCATTGAAATGTAGAGGTCACCAGTTAGAGATGTATTTAGATGGAGTAGCCTCCAGCCTATTAATCCTGAACACATTCCACACTATTATGTAACCACTGCGAGCGTGAACGACCGAATATCGGGTTCCAAGGCCTTATAGGATCTGAGCCCAAAACGAACACTGCCAACAACCAGTAACAAAAGGACCTGTTACTCCTCTGACCACATTATATATAGTCAGTCATTTTGGGAGATCATGTTCTGGGTCAATTTATTGATGTGAAAACCTTAGATGAGGCGCTGTTCGCTGTCGTGGTGTTAACAGGGGCATCGCATAGGTATTTTGCTCTTATATTTCTATATTCCCTATTTATATCTATCTATCTATCTATCTATCTATCTATCTATCTATCTATCTATCTTAGTCTGTTCATATCTATCTTTCAATCTATATCTAGCTATCTGTATCTGTCTATATTTCTGAGGTGAGGTATTATGTACCCTATTTACATTATTCGGACTATTGTCCTCATCTTTGTCACCATATTTATTACAACGTTTCGTCCGTTGTATGCTCCGGCCTTCTTCAGGTGGTTGGAATGTCGAACTGAACGCTTTATTTCGCTCATTGGGGTAGACTAGTTCCACGTGCCATGTTTAATGGATGCCAGTTATCAGTTAACTCCTGTTAATTCCCCTCTCCAAGTTCTCCCCCGCCTTAACCATGTATTGAACTCACACACTTTGGGTCTTGTCACTGGATCTAACTAACGCCTTTCTCCGCAGTGCCATGTGCCCTTGAAGACACATGGCACAGTGGATAAAGACGAAACGTTGTAATAAATATGGCGACAAAAATGAGGACAATAGTCAGAATAATGTAAATCTAGCTATCTAGCTAAGTATCTCTTCGAAGTTAAAGAACGTTGAACTGACCATCTTGATATGCGTCTATTATTCTTTGTCTAGAATCTGATTTGCGCCAGTATTGTTTGTCTGCTACCACCGACAATTCTAACCAGAAGCCCCTGATTACCATCATAAGGACCCTAGCCACTTACTGCATCGTGGGCAGTAATGCCTTCCACCAGGTTTGCTTGCTGTACCCGTGTCATCTTAGATCTGATTTACCCGAAGTAGGCAAATCCGTCTTTCTGGTGGAGGGGTCTAGGGTGTAATGAAGTGGAGCCGTAGGGGGTGGTTATAAAAAGTTTGGTGTTAGCGAGAGCAGCAAAATGACATTAGAATCAAGTAATAATTATCCGAGTTTAGGTGACTTTACCTTGTTTCTTTCAAAGCAGAGAAACAGACTGAAACTTACGGAAGGCGGGGATCTAAAACTCAGTGATTTCCAGCCTGAAGTTGAAAACCCAGCATGATTTATATCCATGCTATTAATACTGTAAAAAAAAAAAACGCTGGAAATTTACATTTTCATTTCGCTGATAATTGAATTGATTAACTTGATTGAACATTTTTTGTTAAATGCTTGTGTTTACAGTGCAAACTGTCACTGTTTTTCAATTTGCAGTATACCTGATGCATAGAAAGATGCGTCTTTATACTTTTTTACAATGATGGTTCACCTTATACAAGGTTCAGGAGCCACTCGAGGCAGAGGGTTGCAGAGTAAGAGGTACAGCCCCAAGCAAGGAATGAACGCCACCAAGGCGCAAGTGGTCACCAAAAGTGAAAGAGGCGGAAAAATCTTTAGAAGAAACCGGAAATCCAATCCCAAACAAGAAACGAATGATACGCCTCAATTGCTCTTCAAAAGATCGCTGAGATGTGTGTTTATTTTAAAAATTTATACATGTTCATGTGGTCCAAGGCCAAAGGGAATGTGTGGAAAGTCTGGCCATCATTGATATCCTACACCTAGATATTCCAACTCGCAACCCATTCATTCTAATAATTTCCTCAATCACTAAAAGAACCCATCTTTCTCCAACATCCATCGCAATACCACATATTTGCTAGGTTCTACCGAAGCACACATGATGTAAAAATTCTGAAATATGTATATTTATTTTATATATAAAACTGTTGAGAAGTGTGAACCTGACGACAGGAGAACCTGTCCACTCATATTGAGTAAAAAAAAAAAAGTAAACAGTAAATGATTTTTTTTAGTTTTAGGCGGTGACGATAGAAGTATAGAGTTGAAGTTGACTTTTGAATTAACCAGAAACCCAATCAGTTTTAAAACGGGCGCCACTGTTTTAGAACGATAGATATTAAATGCCCGCACAATTAAATTTCTCACCTGTCTGCACCCCACCATTATTATTCATATTTCTAGCTCCGATAAGCTACGTTGCATGCTATGAATGTTCACACTGACTCACCAGATGTCAGAGCAGAATTAGTGTAGGGCTGAGCATTTCTGCAACGTCAAGGTACTGTGACATCCCCTACACTTACCTTCACATCCTGATCTCCAAAGTCCTTTGGAAGATCAATGCGCGCATATTGAGTAGACAATTATCAATAGATCTATGTCTGTTGACAATAGATAAGAAAATAGAGAGATAGCTACAAAAATTAAAATGGATAAGAATGAGCTTTGATAGCAAGCAAACGGCTATATATATAGATTGAGACGAAACCGTCTATCAAAATTATGATTAAAGATAAATTGTGTGATACAGAGGTTAACATTTACATAATGATATATATTTCTGCAAACTGGAAACACATAAGATCTATTTATAATGAGTTAACAATTAATCATTGTCAGTCATATGCACTTTTTATATTGTTATCACTTCTGTGCTATACAGGGTTTGGACAAAATAATTGTAACAGGTGCATATTCCGCTCCTATATTTCAAAAACCTATTATAACTTTAACTAAAACTTCGTAATTGCAGGATATACCTATTGTAAATACTTTTATGTATCTAATTTACTGTCTTTGTCTTATTTATTTTTAGAATTTAGTAAAATTTAAGCTAAATGCGTGACCTCTACGAGTTTGAAAAAGGGCAAATTATTGGAGCTCGCATGGCAGGAGCCTCGATCACTAAGGTTGCTGAACTATTTGTTTTTTTCAAGAGCTACCATATCAAGAACTATGACGCAATTTGAGAAACAGGGCAAAACTTCTAGCAACCATAGCAATTCGGGCCGGACTTGCAAACTTACTCACAGGGACCGACGTGCATTGAAATAAATGGCAAAAAATCATCAGACTACTGCGGCCAAACTGATTGTTGAGTTGAATAATCATCTGAATAGTCCAGTTTCTACTAAAACTGTTCGTCGTGAGCTCCATAAGGCTGCATATCATGGAAGAGCCGCGGTAAGGAAACATCTTCTCTCCACTCACAACATTTAGAAGAGGTTGAAATGGCGCAGAGATAACAATGCCTGGTCTTCAGACCAATGGAAGCAAGTCATATTCTCAGACGAGTCCAGTTTTTCTCTTTTCCCAACTTCAGGGCGAGTTTATATGTGTAGGTAGCTCAAAGAAGCTTACAACCCTGACTGCCTTCTTCCAACAGTGAAGCAGGGAGGTGGATCAGTGATAGTTTGGGCCGCCATATCATGGAAATGTCTCAGTCCAATAGTTTCCCTGCATGGTAGAATCAACAGCAAAGATTACCTGAACATTTTGGGAGATCATGTTCATCCAATGGCCCAGACTTTATTCCCTGATGGTGACTGCATCTTCCAAGAGGATAATGCTCCAGTACATACCGCTCTAGTGGTTAAGAATTGGTATGAAGAGCATGAAAATGAGCTAGAACACGTGGAGTGGCCTCCCCAATCTGCAGATAGCAATATTATTGAATATTTGTGGTGCATTTTGGAACTACAAGTTAGGAGCCGCTATTCACCACCGTCGTCTCTTAAAGAGCTGGAGCAGGGGTTAATGGAATAATGGCTGAAAATTCCTCTAGATGAAGTCAGGAAGCTGTATGATTCCATTCCTAGACGTATTAAAGCTGCATGTGAGGCTAAAGGAAAACCAAATCCATATTAAATAAATTTTCTTTGAATTTAACAAGTGTTTCAATTATTTTGTCCAACCATTGGATATAAACCCTTGTGCAAATTGATTGAAACAAAACGAATAATTCCGTTATTATTTACTTTTTTCATATTTTTCCAATGAAACATGCCTCAGTGCACATGTTAGTACTTCGTATGTCCATTCCACGAGGTCGTTCCTTGCAGATTGACCACAGATTCTCGATTTCTTTTATATCAGGAGAATTTCCAGGCTAGTCGATAGTACTTTGATGGACTCACTGGTTACCAGTGTGTTCGTGCAGCGTTACAATTTTCGTACGCTTTCTTGGAGTAACGTTCATCGCAGACAATGGCTGGAGGACAACTAATCGGCAGTCGAGACAATAGTGTCTGGGCATCTGATGCAATCACGGATGATGCAATATTTTTCAAGGCCAACCAAACTGCATCATATACCTCAAAAATACATTCATATTACTGCACACGGTTGCAAATGACCTAATCTGAAGAAAAAATAGAAATCAATTACATCCTGTCAGTCCAGTGGGTCTAAAACTGGCCGTATGTTGAAAGAAAGGAAAGTAAAGGTTTGTTTCAATTGATTTACACGAGGGTGTAGGTATACCACATTGT